CACATTGACTGGGTTTTAGCATGATGTTTGTAATGAATTCAGCATGCGTAGTTGCAACCCGGCATCCTTTTTAATTCAAATTACATTTAGATGATTGGAAGAGCATTATCGATGGACCGTGCAGTGGTATTGAGCCTGGAATTTGCAGTCATGTGCGAAGCGCGTCAAAACGTGGAACATTTAACTCAATGCTTTTTTTTATGTGTGGTTAAGGACTGAGGAGGGAGTTACGGTGACCTAATTTTTGTCCAGTTCATTTATCTGGACCAGCCTGGCATCTCAGTGGATCACTTTCGGAGTCATCTTAGAAATCTCAGTTCAGCTAAAAGTTCATCCTTTCCAAAAATGCATATGCATTATTAGTGTTCTGAGAGAAGACTATACTTTAAGAGCACTGGATTGCTGTAGCAATTCCTTTTTTTGTTTTCTGGCCTGCCCTTATATCTTCTAGTTATGCTTTACAGAATGACTAGTCACTGTGGGAGAGAGCGGATAAGTTTCTCAACAGTGTTTGGTATTCACAGATGGCATGTTTGAGGGCCTCTATGTTCCTGTGAGTTTTCAGTATTAGTGTGAGATGTGAAGTTGCCAGTTGCCACCCTCAAGTAATGCAGGTGAATTGTCCTTGCTCAAGGGTGTTGGAACTGCAGAGAGACCAGCTGCATGGCCTATATATAAGTCTGCTCACCGATTACCTCCTACAGAACCTTCCATCTACTCTCTGAGTCTTTCATTTTGATTCAAAGAGATGCTTTTTAAACTACTTTAGGTTCATGCAGGTTTCAAAGCACTTCATCCATTTATAGGTTGTTGTTGTTTCCTACACCTTAAATATTTATAAGTGAACTATTGTGTTCAAGGCAATTGTTTCCCAACCTTTTTGTCTAATGTACCCCCATAGCCCCTTTAGTAAATACAAGGGGTATTTACTAAAGGGGATATGGGGGTACATTAGACACCAATGGATTGAGCCAAGCCATACTATCACCATACTATTTTTGTATAATCCATTTCACTCAGATGTACATTACAATAGGGAAGAAAAGATCCCTTGCTTGATACTTTGTTACATTTTGACTTTAATGTTATTAAAATGGCCATTATAAATTTAGAATGAGACACTTGAGGTTGTTTGTTGTCCACAGGTATTGACCATTTTACTTCCCATTATAGAGCCAGACCGATTTATCGGCAGGCCGATATTATCGGCCGATATTAGGCATTTTCTGATAAATGAAGATTTCAAAAATAAAATAAAATTGGACGGAACACTCTTCAACCATGTCATGAGTGTTGGAGAGGTAGTTTGTTCACCAGAGGGCACTCTACACCGTCCCTGTTGGCAACACTCGTTGAGTTGGTCACGAGACATACATTGCTTGAATAACAATTAAAAAAACGTCTCCATCAGTTCTCTTAACTCAAATAAGCATGACAAAATTTCTGACTATCATGTCCAGTTTTGCTTCTGTTAAATAAGCCGAGAGTGAAGTGGAATTAGCTAGTAATAATTACGTTACGTATGTAGTTGACTGACTGTCCTTTTAACTTTTGACATTGTGACTGAAGTATTTCTTTAATAGCACGTGACAGTTATAGCAATGAGACGTATCTCTCCTTGCCTGTTATATTGAAAATGTATGTTTTACAATTTGCAGTATGACGTTATCCATTGCTAAATTATGGTTCATCATAGACTAGCTAACTACAAGCTAGTTAATGCCACTATCATCAGTCTGTTCTGTTGTGACACGTTTCTTTTTAAAATGCATTATCATATTATTTTAGTTAAAACTCATAAATAACTAATGTTAGGGAAATCTGTTAATGTTTTGTTGCACGTTTCTGAAACAAAAAAATATCGGCCGATATATCGGAATATCGGATTTTAAAATCAACGAATATTTGTATCGGTATCGGCCTTCAAAATCCTTTATCGGTCGGGCTCTAGCCCATAACTTTCCCTGAGAGACCTAGTAGAGAATTTGTTCATTAAAAATCCAGATGTTGAACAAGAGTGAAGTTATTTGCAAGCGTTACATTTTCTTATTTTTAAGAAATCAGTACTTTTATTCAGTAAGGACTCGATACATTGATCAAATGTGACGTAAAGGCACTTGTAATGTTACAAAATAATTCTATTTCAAATAAATGTTTAACGTTGTTTAAATGTTTGTTTCACAACCATTCAACATGATCAATGATAAGAAATGTTTATTGAGCAGTAAATCAGCATATTAGAGTTATTTCTGAAGGATCATGTGACACTGAAGACTGGAGTAATGATGCTGAAAATTCAGCTTTACCATCACAGGAATAAATTACATTTTAAAATAAATGAAAATAGAAAACGGTTATTTTCTTTATAATTATTTTTTTTGATCAAATGAATGAAGCCTTGGTGAGCATGGGAGAGAAAATCTTACTAACCCCTAACATTTGAACTGTAGTGTATCTAACCTTGTAGCCCAATGGAAGCAGATACTCACCTGCTTATGAAACTATATTTACACACAGTTATAATCGAGCTACAGTGGGGTCTTGTGTAGTTGAGCTGAAGTCTTAATCTATTCAAGAATACATAACGCAGTGGGACATTTAATATTTGTAAGATTAAGTACTTTGCATGATTTTAAAGCAAATCCCAAGGTCACTTATAGTCTGATTAACATATGCTGGATTAACATATTAGTCAGACTTAACAAAAGTCTGGAGTGGACTGATGTGATTTTAGTTAGACTAAGGTATTATTTATGTGACATTTTTAAAAAGACAAATAATTGTTTTATTTAGAATGAAATCTCACATTTAAGTGTGTGTCAATGCATTTAAATCTTGTAGAGGAAATTATACCATGACTCACTCTTCATATCCTTAGGACAATTGAGGCATGATAACAGTTTTGCTGATGGCTTAAACTGAACCAACAGATTCTCTTTTGCCTTGCTTCCATAGCAACTAGAGTTCTTTGACGTAGATGAACATGTTCTTAAGTTAACCATCTGGCCAAATGTGAAAACGTCAGTCAATCATTGGGTTTCTGGCCGGTGTCTGTCTTTGACACCTTGCAGCCTGTCAGGCCTCTGAGGTGCTAATGGGATTGGCCTTAAGTGGGCAGCTTGTTTTCTCTTCCTTTGGTCTAAGAGGTTGGTTCATCTGACCAACTGGCCAGCGTGCTTGAAAAGTGTGGTTTTGGCAGAGCTTGACGCCTGTGTCTGCTTGTCTGGACGCTAACCAGACGCTGTGTGTTTGACTGATGGAGGGTGTGTTTCATCGTGACATGAGTCATTGGACGTGTTGTGTTTTTTGTTGGAATCTATGGGCCGCCTCTGTTCATAACCAAATGTGGATATGTTAATTGACAAAGTAAAAGAATAAAAAGAGAAAATCTGGATAGGAGAGCTGCACGATTAGCTGTTAAAAAATTTGTGATCCCGATTCAAACACCTACACAATCTTATTCATAATTGATGATTAACGATTTGCCTGTTTCTATGAAACCTTTGACAAAATCACAGCGGCACATTCAAATCTGCGTAAGAGCTGCCACTGAATCAGAGAGAGCATTTGTCATATATAGGTATGAAACCGCTTCGCAAATAGTCTTTTACGATATCAATATTTCTGTTACATGATATATTGCAACCGATAAATAATGGATTATTATTTATTTCCTATAGCTGAGACACTTCAGATGCGCACTGTTCTCCATGATGGTTTTGAATAGCTTGAAATATGATTGGAATTATTTCTAAAAAATGAAAATACAGTTAAGTGCAACATGTGCTTTAGGCTTATATATGCCTATATGGCTTAATTATAATAATTATTATATATGCCTTAATTATAATAAGAAGATTATTATAGTGCATGGGATATGGATTTAAATGGTGAGACTATTGTTTTTGTAATCAGGCCCCCCAAAACTATATATATATATATATATTAGGAATGGGATGGTATAAAAATTTCATATCACGATTATATTGACCAAAATTATCGTGATTATCAATATTATCACGGTTTTATTAAAATGAGATGAAAGTGTTCAAAAACAACTTCATGCTCACACTGAAAACATTTTTAAAAGTTTTATATTAATAAATCTACAAACAACAAATGAAACAAGCAGCTCTATGCACTTTTTAAAGCAAGATTATATTCTGTGGCATTTCCTTCCTTATAATGTCTGTCGTCAATAGCAACCTATTATTACACAGCACACATTCATGTATCACTCTCATTTCATTCAAATAGAACTTGCCGTCTTGAGTGTTTCGTCTCCGTTTTTGAAAATGAAATCAGAGATGTATTATTTACAGAGTTTGATAATATTGTTGTGATCATCTTGTCTGGATGAGTTTTGTACGTTTGTACAAAATGGATTTAACAGTTAAGATTTAAAGCATTAATCTCAATTCAATATGTCCCGTAAAAACATTGATATAATAAGTGTACAATAAGTATATAACGTTACATTATTATCTCTTAATTGAACATCGTCTTTGGCTGAAAGCCACTTGCTACAAACTTTTCTTCACGGAAGCTTCACGTTTATTTCAAGTGAGAGATAAAATATTTCAACTCATACCGTAATAACATTTTGTGCCCAATAATTTCCCAGACGTAGTTTTGGTGTTAACTTGCCTTGCATTCGCTATAAGTTACAACAGTGGGTGATGGTCACACAAGACGATCGGCAGATTTGAAGTGTTTCCCCTTATTATTGCTGCGACTTTTTTTGTGCAGACAGGGTGATCATCCTTGATTAAATTTCCCCCGGGACTTGTAAAAAACAAAATATGACCACACTTAATTTCCCTTAAGGTCCTTTTAAAAGGCTGGAAAATCTCTTGATCACGGTTACTTCCTTCCACCATATCCTTCTCGAAAAAAAATCGACTTTCAAATATGAGAAATTATAGGAATTAGGAATTATCGGTTATCAATATCGGCCAAAATATTCATATCGGTGTATCTAGTGCTATTGTTTTATTTACCAGTTGGTTTCTTTGCCGTTTAGGAAGATCTGTCTCCACTGTAAGTGCCGTCGTGAGGAGCATGTTGTGACCGCCATGCCTCTAGAGATGGAGAAGACCGTGACCAAGCTGATGTATGACTTCCAGAGGAACTCTACATCCGATGATGACTCCGGGTGTGCTCTGGAGGAGTATGCCTGGGTGCCGCCTGGTCTCAAACCTGAACAGGTAACACTATTTACTGCCCTGTACCCAAATCATATCAAAGTCCTTTTAAGCAAGTCATGCCACTCGCCGCCATCTTGCAGCTATTTTGGACTTAACAAGACCAGGCTCTATCTAAATGAATGGGCAGAGAGTCAGAACTGCACTTTCACTGGTCACCGGGAAATAAAAACTGCATGTATAGAAACAGCAGTAAAATATGATACAAATCGCTAAAAAAGTTTGATGACTTTGCCCCAAAATAAGGTTTAAAATGCTGTTTTCCCACAGGTTATACTTTTACTGCGCATGCGCAAGGGTTCTCTCGCTCTCTGTCGCGCGCGCACTGCACAGTTTGAAACACAGTATGTGCGCGCGCTCTTGCTCGGTCGCTCTTGCAGGCATCAGTGAGCCTCTATCAATCTGCGGGAGACACCCAGAACTTCTGGGAGACTTGGGATGTCTGATATTTACACAACGCACACATACACTGCATATCAAATCTGCCGCCTTTTCAAACAGTAACGCATTTAAATGTTTCCCAGCTTGACCGTTATAAAAGCAGACGATTGGCTGTCCTGCGGGAGGGGCGGGGCATTTGCATACAACCGCCATATTTGGTGTTACGGGTTTTCCCTATACATTTGTATTAAGGATTGAGGAAGTGGCATGTCACTATATAAATAGTCTCTGATCATATTTATACTTTCTTTCCATAGTTTAGGGTCAGAAATTTTATTTATTAAAAAAAAAAATATATATATATATATATTAAAAACATGTATTCAGCAAGCATGTGTTAAATTGATCATATTTTTTTTTTAGTGTGAAGAACATTTTAATAATCTAAATAAACCTTCTTCACTATAAAGAAGAATTTGTGGAATGGAAAATCTCCATAGATGTTAAAGATTGTTAAAGGACCCCAAAATTAAATTATTTTACGTATTAAAATGTTTTTTTTTTTTTTTTTTTGAAGGATCACGTAACACTGAAGAGTTTTTTTTTAATTATTATTTCAATATATTAAAATAAAATGTATTTTAAATTGTAATTTAATTTTTGATCAAATAAAGCCTTGATGAGCATATGAGACTTCTTTCAAAATCATATAACAATCGTACCAACCCTAAACTTTTGACCGGTTGTGAATATTTATTTTTTTAAATAGATTGATAATAATTTCATTCTGCATGAAATTTTGACAAGGTTTTAAATGTTTGGAAGTTAAAATACCCTTGAGAGTGAATGCCTCTTTATAATCACTCATTCCTGCTGCACTGATTTTTGTTACTATAGTGATGCTCTGCTTCAGAATGTTGGTGTGTGAGGTTTATAAGGCTGGTTTAAGGAAGGTTTATATCTACTGGGTGCGTTTACGGGCCAGTGAAATCATTTATAGATGAGTTTCATTTTCATGATGAACTAAAAAAAGTCTTAACGCAACAGCAAAAAGGGTCAATAAGTAATAAAGCACCTCCACCATCTGCAACAGCTTTCGGCCATATTGTGTCTCTGGTGGTCACGTGATGTGCTTCTGATCAGCTCACATTTCCCAGACTGAACAATCCTATCTAGGAAAGATAATGAAATTGATGGCCGACGTTAGCCTGATATATTATGAAGCCTTTTTATCATCTCTTGTTTATTATAAATACTTGATAAAAATGATGGGAGCCAGTGTATATAGTAGAATAATCTCCTTTAGATATTCTTTATTATACTGATAAATGATTCTCTAGGCTGTATTCCAAGAGCCCTTGGTTTGTAGTGGCTCTGGTTTAAGTCAATACCAACATTTTTGCAGCATTAAGGCAGATGGATGGGAGGAAGTTGCTGGGATACAAGAACTCGGTGTCCATGCATGTTATTAGCAAGCTATTAATTATGCCTCTCTCTGTGCTTTGAAAGCTGGTGTCTGCAGTTTCACCCAGAGACAGTGATTACCTCAGGCCATGACAAATTAGCTTTGCTTAGACATAGAGTGGAAATTTAGGCCATCCACATCCATAATAAGATAAGATGGTAGATCCCTGCTGTGCATTTCAGAACATTTGGGTTCTGGTTTAGAACAAGAAATCTGGGTTCGCTTTATTTAAAAAAAACACACACATTCTGTTGAGTATAAATAACGTTGTTCCTACATGCACTGTAAATGATTTCTGTTGTTTTCACAGGATTATACTGTTTTTCTCAACAGTTTCTTACTGTATAATCTATGTACAGTAAGTTACAGTAGATTTAGTTGTTTTCACAGTATTAAATTGTTTTTTCAACAGTTATGTACTGTGCACACAGTTGACAGTATGTTACTGTAGAATTGCAATGCATTCTGGGAAATTATCAGTTACTGTTAATCTAAATACAGCAGTGCAATTGACCGCGAAAAACACCACACACGGTTCCACGGGTAAAATTGCTAGCCTACTAATGTTATTCTTACATTTAAAATAAAAATGTAGCACTGGTTGACCATTAACAGTCATAATTTATGACATAATTTATGTCAGTGGGGTGTGCATGAGAGCATATTTGACTTTGGAAGAGTTTCTCTGTCGTGTCAGTGGTGCTGCTGTCTTTTCTGCCGACCTGCAACTTCTTCATCTGGTAAGTAATAATTCTTATAATGTGTATGCAAACGGATTCTAGCTAATAATAACTTTAAAGTTATTTAGAATAGCTGACCACGATTTCTATATTCAATTTAATATATTCGACATTTTAATATAATATGTATATGATAGGCTACTCTTCAATGTAGCCATTTGGGATGTTACTGTAAATTCAAATACATTATTACGAAATGACCGCGAAAAATAACCACAACAAGCTGCCATTTTATGAAGAACTCTTCAGTTCCCTTCCCTCTGTAAGAACACGCAGGCCGTGCATCGCGTCGCTGTCGGTCGGCAACGTTTTCGCCATACATCTGGTTAGTAATTCATATTTTTAATGCAAACCATATGAGTTAACAGATTACCGTTAGAAAGAAGTGGCCGCGGAATGTTCGATAACGTCTGTATAAGTCAGACGCGGATTTCTTTTATGTTGATAGCCTTACTTGATTAAATGTGATTTTATTAACATATATTTCATATGTAACCTCTTATACGGTCAAAATGGTCTAATCATTTTGTTATTTACCACGTTAAGTCGGTGGAAGCGCCTGCACGTTCATTATTTTATGACTTACAGGGGTTAGGAATTGATAATCGATAAATGTATCCTGAAATCGGACATCCAAGGTTAGGATTCGGATTTATTGTTATAAAATTAAAGTGCCGATTCCTCTAATTGATTTTTTCACGCTTATTTTCGTGTAAATCCTGACCTGGCGTTCTGCCATTATAACGTTACCTCAGTGATAAAGTTGGACCGCGGAAAGCGCCCAAGGTGTATGTGTGACATTTACAGTATTTGTTGTGGTCTTTGTTAATCTTTGGTTATCATTAACGACACATACACGAGGGAGTTAGCCTGGTGTTGAACACTTTACTAGCGAACTTAGAATCAACAACAACAAAAAAACCCGGGTCATACCAACTACACAAACTGCCTGGGGTGTTCCGGTAGGAACCATTCACTGCATATACTACAGTATTGTCGGCTATAATATCATTTTTTTTTTTTACTATGTGTAAACTGACATGTACTCATTTGAAGGGAACGATGCCTTGTCAATCTTTTTTTAAGTCATGTAACTTAGTATCACACAAGCAAGATTTAGCCTACGTTTTCACGTGATCGTAAATGAATTGATTTTAAACAACAGTCCAAACAAGATTTTAGTATTAAGTGAATTACACTTTAGACATCATTTTGTCTGTTTTGCTGTTTAGCCAAAACAACAACAAAAACGTACTATATTTTAACTGTCTTGTCTGTTCTCCTTTTTCACAGGTGTGAGCTGTGCATGTTAAGAAGACCCCTATCCATCTTGACGACCGATGAATTGTAAATCTAATCTAATTTAATTATTCTATTTATCTAACTACTACTACTATACCTTGGTCCAGTACTGACCCACTGAGAACATTTTAAACGGATTTTTATCCATCTGTGAATTTTGTCTATCTGCAAGTTGTTTAGAATTGTTGTGTGAAAATAAACGTTACAGTACAGTTTAAGGTTTAATTGCATAAAAGCTTGGATAGAAAACTTCCTATTGCAAAAGTTAGAACATAAGTCTGCATATAAATAATTATTGATATCCGTAATGCAAGTTTTTCATGGCACATGTGCATGATGAGGTTGTTTTGTGTTTATTTAATTTTTTTTTTAAAGGACACTGGATAACTTGTCATTTTGTTATACTCATCTGGATTGGTGGTTTACTCGTCAAAGCTTTTATAGTTTATAAGTTTATATGTGTCTCCCAGCCCTGCAAATCTGGTCCCTTAGATAGAAAGCAGCCAAAAACCCTTTAAAATCAGCAACTGACCAGTTAGACAGTCTATCTCAAACCAATAGACAATCTTAGACTAGTTTAAGCTGTTTTACCCCAGCAGGGAGTGGGTGGATGAGTTGTTATGAACTATCTTTCTAATAGATTGATCAGATAGCACCCCTTTAATCTTTTCTATTTTACCTGTTCATGATAATTCTTGCATGTATTTATGCATAATTGTTCATGATTGTCATGCATGATTTGTATTGTATTATATTACATTTTTATTATTAATGTATTTAATTGTATTAATGTATTTAAATGTATATTATGTAAATGTCCTAATGTGTTTGAAAATACACAATAAACCTTGTGCAGTTAAAGCTTCAATTGTTCTTTTTTCTATTTCCCATTAACAGTTAAAATAATATTTCTACTGATTTTCTACAGGTTACACAGTAGCACTATAAAATAAATACAATAACATTTCATACTATACAGTATTATTAAAAAT